TACCCGCGCACAACGACAATGCGCTGAGAAGAAGGCAGTACAGCCATGAACGTGCCGCGACTCCCTGATGACAGCACCGAGGACGCGAATGCCTGCACTTAAAATATAAACGATGATTTGGTTTTGAGGCCCGATAAGAAAGAAACTTTTTCTTATTATTACCTTTTTTTCTTTTTCACTTATTTAGAACTATATATCAGCGTAGTTCAGTTCTTTCAAAGGTGTGGTATAAATTTTCTTTATGTTTTACTTTAATTGATGGATTCACTTCCATTTTAGTTGACCTAGATATGAAAAACTGATTTCTGTGGGGTAAGAAAGCTTCAATAATAAACAATGTTATATATAAATGAGTAAACAGCTGCTGTACGTTTTATTATTATATGTACATTATTTATTGAATAATGCAAAATGTGCATTATTTTTACATTTTTGTAAGGTTCGTTCAGCATCAAACTAAGACTTTAATGTTGCGGTGACGTTAGTTAATGGTATCTTTGCCTGTAAAATACAATATTTTTTGCCGTTTTTTTGCATCAACATAAATTTTTCATTGCAGTCAAGCCACTACGCAAGCTAAACACAAGCCATCTGCCGTGGTTGACAATAAACTTCTCGACTGAATGAACAACTGAGATGAAGCGCGCATTACGCAGCTATATTTCCAGCATATAGCACTATGATGTCACACGAATTACGATGAAAAAATATAGACATATAAATAGAAAAACTTGATCACGCCGCTATATGGCCAGGATATAACACCAAGTTACTTAATGAATATTGATATATTCGAAACGTCGCACTGCAATAAAATGTCATTCGGTAATCTACTTTTTGATCTCCAAGCTCCAGCTAGAAATTTCGTTTGGCTTATCGAAGAGAACAATAAGAAAATCGTAAATAAAAAGTACGCTCTGGTCTTCAACCAAACCTGTATAAATGAAGAACTTCTGCCTAACTACACTAATATGTAAATATGTAGCACATCTGTATATTATAAATAAATATGTAGAACATATTAACGACCGACTTTTATGCTAAGGTATTGCATCGCGCAAAAAGTTGTTAATACGCAACGCTGGTTTTTTAATACCATTATTATGAATAATTTACACAAATAGTTACTGTATATTGATTCAGTAGATCGATTTATACATAACTAAAAAGGAAGAAAGCTGGGAACTTTAATTTCGTGCGATTACAATTAAATTCAAACCCTAAACCACAGACTGAGCAATAGATATGATTTGATTTAATGCGATAAGCCCTTCAAAAGTACAAAAAAACATACAACAGACATTGGTGTGGAGTTACAGGAATCTAAGGAAATTGAATTAAATATATTAGGAAAATTACTTCCATTAATAATTCAATATTCAGCAACACGTGTTTAGCAAGACATGAACCTTGGTATCCTTTCTGTTTTAAGCATCAAAATTTTCAATGAGAAATAAAATATTGAATTTCAACCTCATCACAAGAACCGATCTCTTGCTTATACGCACGCGAGATGCGAGCTCAAACAGAATATAATGTTTACTAGTCTAGTTAAAATATTTACAATACTCTGACATAGATGGGATAATAGAACTCATAAACAACAGTATTTATGGGATAATATTACTTCACCAGCATAAGTGAATATGAAGAAAGACATGTAAACGCAAGCGCGCGACACGCGACAGCGTTGCAGGCCGACAAACACGAGGCTTAAAGGGAACGAGTCTTGAGACCAACATTTCAGTAATATTTCAATAACAGATTCTTATATTCTCTTATTTCATTAAGGCAGTTGAATTTCTTTTCTTTAAAGCAATCTATTAGAGACAAGACAACATAGCAGCATAGCACATAGCTTTATAGGCACTGCGTGTCTGTAGTACATATTTACTTGAGTGTGTCCAGTAGTGATACTTTATAGGCACTGCGTGTCTGTAGTACATATTTACATGAGGGTGTCCAGTAGTGATACTTTATAGGCACTGCGTGTCTGTAGTACATATTTACTTGAGTGTGTCCAGTAGTGATACTTTATAGGCACTGCGTGTCTGTAGTACGTATTTACTTGAGTGTCCTAGCGGCTTGAAGTAACATGTGAGTGTCAAGACTATTCAATCCTAATTATTCGAGTAACGAATAAAGAGACCATTGAAAAATTTTAGAGAATTTTTTCTTCAAAAACGCAAAGCGCTTCGAACTTTAAGTCTTTTGAGCAAAAAGTTTTAATGCGTTTACAGTATCGCCAGAACCTCAGCCCTCGGCGGAGACCAGCAAAGTTGAGGGGAGCGTCCCGGTTCAGCGACCGTCCGCCAATTTACAAATTTGCAACCATAATCGCGGCCAATCAGCGACTGAATGCCAATCGAACAGCCGTCCAAGGACGTGGAAGATCCACGTCAATGAGAGTACGGGCAAAAAATGAGGAACAATGTGGAACAATTGTTCGAAAAGTTTTAATAGTTTCTAGGTAAGGTAAGAAAGTTTGTATTTGACGCATAATTGCTTCTGAATTCAAAAAGAATTGAAAAAAGTATACAGTGAAAAAGACAAGCATTAAAATAGCAAAATTGAGACTTTTGTGTGTATCTTTCGAAATAGGTAAAACATTCGAGGTCGTGAAGAAAATCGACAATTACGTATAAATAACTTCTAAACATATTAAATTCATAAATGTGCACGAGACGATTAAGAAATAATCAACTTGACTAAAAAATCTTAGTATGAGCGTTGATGGCTAATACGAGCAGGTTATATGATGGAGGGATTGATTATTAGCAATCGAGATGGAACCATCATACCAACACTAATTTTCACGCATATCATTTTGTAATTATCATTGTTCTACGATCGAAACGTTACGTCAATTTCTGTCTCTTTTAACGTCTTTTAAATGTATTACCTTGTAATATTACGTACGATAAATAACTATATTATAATATTAAATAATATTATATAGGCCTATTCTTCACGTCTTTAATATACAGTAATACCTCGTATTATGACAGCCTCTACTCGCGAACTGTTCGAGATATTTTTTCCTCCCCTGCAGACGAACATGTCTCTGCTTGCAAACCAAATTTCAGGACCGATTCGGTGGTGTATTAGATTTAATTATGTTAATATACAATAAATTTATACATTTATACATTGTTTCCTCAAACGAACCCAGTCACGGAACAAATAAAATTCGTAAGTCTAGGTATCACTTTATAATATATAAGAGTAAAGAATTGTTAAATTGAGATTGTATTCATTTAATTTTGATTCATACATTTAAACAAATTAAGGCAATTGGCAGCGCGTATAGGCTAGGAATGACAGCACGTAAAGACCATTAGAAGGCATGCCAGCAGCACCTCAATGCAGTTCCATGTCAACCTAATACTGCAAATGTGCGAATTATGCAAAGCGGAATCAGCAGTCAATGTCAAAATGTTAAGTACGGGACCGCACAGGTGGACAGAAACGCACGAGTACCACCTGGACGAAAATGCTGGTCCCAGGTGGACAAAAATGTTAGACCCAGGTGACGAAAATGCTGGTCCCAGGTGGACAAAAATGCTAGTCCCAGGTAGACGAAAATGCTAGTCCTATGTGGACAAACATGCCAGTCCCAAGTGGACGAAAATGCTAGACCCAGGTGACGAAAATGATAGACCCAGGTGACGAAAATGCTAGTCCCATGTGGACAAAAAATGCTAGTTCCAGGTGGACGAAAATGCTGCTTCCAGGTGACGAAAATGCTAGTTCCAGGTGGACGAAAATGCTAGTCCCAGGTGGACAAAAATGCTAGTCGCAGGTAGACGAAAATGCTACTTCCAGGTGACGAAAACGCTAGTCCCAGGTAGACGGAAATGTTACTTCCAGGTGACAAAAATGCTGGTCCTATGTGGACAAACATGCCAGTCCCAAGTGGACGAAAATGCTAGACCCAGATGACGAAAATGCTAGTCCCAGGTGGACAAAAATGCTAGTCGCAGGTAGACGAAAATGCTACTTCCAGGTGACGAAAATGCTAGTCCTATGTTAACAAACATGCCAGTCCCAAGTGGACGAAAATGCTAGTCCCATGTGGACAAAAAAAATGCTAGTTCCAGGTGGACGAAAATGCTGCTTCCAGGTGACGAAAATGCTAGTCCCAGGTAGACGAAAATGTTACTTCCAGGTGACGAAAATGCTAGTCCTATGTAGACAAACATGCTAGTTCCAGGTGGACGAAAATGCTGCTTCCAGGTGACGAAAATGCTAGTCCCAGGCAGACGAAAATGTTACTTCCAGGTGACAAAAATGCTAGTCCTATGTGGACAAACATGCCAGTCCCAAGTGGACGAAAATGCTAGACCCAGGTGACGAAAATGCTAGTCCCATGTGGACAAACATGCTAGTTCCAGGTGGACGTTTCATATTGATGCATGAGGCGTTTCATGTTGATGCATGAGACGTTTCATGTTGATGCATGAGGCGTTTCATGTTGATGCATGAGGCGTTTCATGTTGATGTATGCAAGATGCGTTTCATGTTGATGCATGCAAGATGCGATTCATGTTGATGCATGCAAAATAAGTCAGTTGATCGTATCGAAAAATATGCAGGAGTATTTTCAATGGACAATTTGGCAGCATTTAACGCCACGTAATACAATTGATGAATATTTTGTCTGTATTTTTATGCGATGCATAGAAGAAATAACGAAAATGCGTTTTTTCGTTATTTGTGTTAGCAATTACGATGATTATTTTGTCTGTAAATGACAAAGAGTAATTCTATTCCGGAGATCGATTACGCTTCATAAAAAATTTATAAATTAACGACATTTTACAGGAACACAGTCCTTCAATAGGAACCTTACATCATCTTAATTGCATCGAATTATTGGATTACAAGACACCGACTTGGATCCTGCAGATACAATATAAAAGGGAGCTGACCTTCTAGAACTTGAGTCTACAACAGATTGCAAAATAGACTTCCTTGATAAAATATGAACAAGAACTGACCTTCTTCTGGAGCTTGGGTCCAGTCTCCATGGCGACGAGCACAGCGTCAGGCAGGTGGTCTGGCAGCCTATCGAGCACAGGGCGCGCGGCTTTGAGCGCCTTGCTGGCCCTGGCCACACCGTTGACCAAATCAGACCATCCGGCTCCGATTTCGGCCAAGGGGGCCAAACAGCCACGCGCCACATTAAGACATAGATTGTGGCAAGGCTGCGCAGACACGGCATTACACAGACCACAAACCGACATCCTCGTTGACGCCACGATGCATTCATCAGGAAATACGAAGCTCTCTGGAGTTTTGGCAGCAGTCGCGGCCGTTTCTAAGGCCCTCAGGAGCAGACGCGCTGATTCCAAAAACCTGGACACAGGGTCGTCGACCAAAGCGGGTATAATACCCCATGGCTTGATGATTTTGGTTGATGCCCTCACACATTGCGCGTATTGTTCAGTGAACTGCGGCATCTTTGCATGCACGGCGCTGTGGTACACGGTAGGGAAAAGGTCGTTCCAGAATTGGGCAAGCGCAGTCTCCAGCCCCGCAGAGTCTGGCTGGGCTATGGATGCCTTCAGGCCACTGAAGAGGTTGCGGAGGATGGGGGTTACGTGTGGCGTCAGGCGTGGGTAGGATGACGTGAAAACTTTCAACGTTTCTTGTTCACTAGAATCCAAGGCTTCTGTGATTGCACCTGTAAGTAGAAGAATCCAGTTTAAATTCAGAATTTAAATTAGAAACTGGTTTAAAATCAAAGAAATAAACGCGTCTGCAGTGAAGAACGCATTTTTCATCACAATAAAAGGAACGCATGATTCAATTAGGCCCTTAATGACATTAATTGAATACCTGAAACGAGGGATGGATTTTTCATTTAACAAATTAATTCTTACGAATATAAAACTTACATTCATTTAAAGTCTAAATTCAAAATTCCAATAAAATATTCAAATTTATGAGAATGCATGGAAGATTTCTAAGTTAAGATATACAAAACCCAGCTCTGCCCCACGCATAAACACAGAAATAGTATACTTGAGCGAGGACTAGCCTATATATATATATACAAAGTAGACAACAGAGGTGAATGATCCACGCTGCTCTTTAGATTTATTCTGGTTAATAGTAATGGCGGCGTCCGTGTTGGAAAGGGATTTAGACCTGTCGCTGATGCTAAACATCGCATAATTTTCACAGCTTGTTGCAGGTCTCGAACATGCGACTAAATGGTCCCTATTTGCCCTACTTAATCGCCCGGCCACCTTGCCGATTTTGAACAGAACTGTCGCAAGATCGAACCCACAACTCACTGCTGGTGCTCTGAACTGTAACCACTTGGCAATTCTGCCCTTAGATTAAAGATTTTGATCAACAGGCGTGCTGACGGTGCCAACAAATGCCCTCATAAATTTTGCGTGAGAAATTGAATGACTAATTTCACTTCTACATATATATAGAGTGTTTTGGGCTAAATGCCTGTCGAGGAAGAAAATTAATTCTCTTAATACAGCAGACAAGGAGAAAACTTCTTCTTAGTACGTCGGTGAAGATTCCATGAGGAATAACTATACTTCTAAATAACGGCTAAATGATGAACACTCTTCTTCAGAATATGGTGCAGTAAAAATCACATGAGTGTCACTCTTCTTCGAAATGCGGCGATGAAGACGTGTGCGATAATAATACGGTGATAAATTGGATGAAGAGAGGCACTCTTTTTCGAATAGGGTGATGAAGAGAGGTACACTATATTACACAATACACAATAAAGACTGAAAGAAGAATACCATGATTCAAAGTAAGGAGGTGAACGTTACACGTGTAACACTTGTCCAAATACAAGCAATCAAACGGTTGTTTGTACGGTTGTACTCAGTAACACTCTTCCTCCACAGTAACCACTCGAGTAACACTCTTCCCCCCCAGTAACCACTCGAGTAACACTCTTCCCCCACAGTAACCACTCGAGTAACACTCTTCCCCCACAGTAACCACTCGAGTAACACTCTTCTTTCACAGTAACCACTGGAGTAACACTCTTCCTCCTAACCACTCGAGTAACACTCTTCCTCCACAGTAACCACTCGAGTAACACTCTTCCTCCACAGTAACCACTCGAGTAACACTTTTCCTCCACAGTAACCACTAGAGTAACACTCTTCCTCCATATACACTGTATTTGTGCTTGCAAAAGATACCCCAGTATAAGAGTACGGCCGACGCCGCAAGGGCCTGCATAATGAAGAGCGATGGTATCTCATCTACGTACATCAAGCGACGACTCGTCCTATTAATTCTTCTTAACAAACCCTAGGAAAAATAGGCAGCTTGAGGCATAAACTTGCGCCGCGTCTTAAGTAAGTAATCCAATGAAAAATGGAGCCTGCGTGCCTTTTAGGCTTAGCGTCGCGATAAAAAGAACTTACCATGTTTGTCCTTCTTATTAGTATTTTTTTAATGGGGAACATCGTTGAAATTTTCGTGTTTTTGGGCTCGGAATTACACCTGAGTAACAAGTTTGCTAAATTGCTGGTCTTACGTGTCTAATTCTCAGTTATTCCGAATAAATGATTGTATAATTAAAGTGCTGATCGAAGAAGCAATTCAAATTATGGCGAACAATGGTTATCAAAAAGTGTTGAAAATGATTTGATCCATTTCCCAAATTGTAAGTTCAGCTATTACTAAAATAAACTTTGAATTAAATATTTTAGATTGTTAATCCATTTGAAGGCTTAATATTTGGCAAGAATATAGGGAAATTAATTGATAAACCAGAAATTATAGTGCTCGGTCATCAAAACCAAAGATGTTCTCTTTGTCGAGTTTAAGTTTAATTGTAAGTGAGAATAAAAAAATAGATCTTTCTATTTTTTGGACAGTTGATTAATTTATTTTTACCATTAATAAAATCTAATTCTACCAAAAGTTGCCACAAAACTATTCTAACCCCAGCAAGGTTTGCACCCAGAGATCAGACTAGGAGGTTCGTATGCCACCACAGGCCTTGAAGTCGAGTAAAAATAAAATGTATTGCCCCAGAACAAGTGCCAGGCCAGCAAGGTCCCCTGAAAAGAGTTCATTATCAGGGAGCGAAGAGCACACAACCAGCCTGGGGGCAGCGAGTTATGAAGTACATTAATTATCCTGGTAGCTGCGGTGAGGCCGATAGCTTATCGCACCACGTACGAGGCCTCGACAATTTGCCAGCCACCGCACCGAATATCGAGACTTGGTGCAGCCACCGCACCGAATATCGAGACTTGGTGCAGCCACCGCACCGAATATCGAGTCTTGGTGCAGCCACCGCACCGAATATCGAGTCTTGGAGCAGCCACTGCACCGAATATCGAGTCTTGGTGCAGCCACTGCACCGAATATCGAGTCTTGGAGCAGCCACTGCACCGAATATCGAGTCTTGGTGCAGCCACCGCGCCGAATATCGAGTCTTGGAGCAGCCACCGCACCGAATATCGAGTCTTGGTGCAGCCACCGCGCTGAATATCGAGTCTTGGTGGAGCTAAAGAGTTCATATTGCAAATTTCATTTTTTCTAAACTCTATCCTTAGGTCTCGCAAAGCTTAATTTCACCGTGCTAGTTTCAGCGCTTGAAATATAAACATTTTTTATTGCTAATTTTTCTTGCTAGTTTTAACACACGAAATTTCAAAATTTCCGTTGCTAGTTTCAACGCTTGAAATTTCAAGATTTTTTGTTGTTAACTTCGATCAAAAATTTCAACATGTTACTTTCCTAGTTTCAACGCTTAAAATGTAAATTATTTTTGTTGCTAGTTTAGCCAAAATTTCAACATCTTCTGTTGCTAGTTTAAATGCTTACTATTTCCCATTTTTTATTCTAGCTTCAACGCTTAAAACTTTCAATATTTTTATCACTAGTTTTAAGGCTTACAATTACTAAATTTTGTTGTCACTAGTTTCAACGCTTAAATTCTCGACATTTTTTATTGTTGGCTACAACGCCTAAATTTCTCATATGTTTTGGTGCTAGTTTCAACGCCTAAAAGTTCCAAATTTTATACAAAAACTGAACTTCCACTTCTCGTCCGTTAGCAACATTTATAATTCAGAACTGAACCCCTCCCTGTGAACCCCTTACGGCGGGGTTCACATCAGCGCGCTCAGGGTTCGTATCAATTGTTCAGAGTTAGACGCACGGAAATGCTTCGTTAGTAAATACAGAGTTGTTACGGCGTGCAGAGTTGTTACGGCGTGCAGAGTTGTTACGGCGTGCAGAGTTGTTACGGCGTGCAGAGTTGTTACGGCGTGCAGAGTTGTTACGGCGTGCAGGGTTGTTACGGCGTGCAGAGTTGTTACGGCGTGCAGAGTTGTTAC